GCTAGAACTCAGCCTCTCTGACATTACTCTCTAGAAACTAACTGGAAGCCGATGGTTTTCCTAACTCTATTCCTCAATGCTTGTTTATGCGCATTAATATGCAGATATATTCCCAGCCGGCTGTGATCTCATGAATTTTTAACCAGAGATTAAAATGTTAACGAAAGCTGGTGATATGGGGGATTATGAGTATCACTTAATCCTTAAATTAGGAATCTCCAAGTGAGCTCCTGATCATTATCCAATGAGCAACCACCCAAAGATTCTCAGGGCAGGCCTTTACCATTGCATTGTGGGTAACAGACATTTTTTTTAATGCACTAATTTTTTTTATTTTTAAATTGTTCTTCATTTTACATACCAACCCCAGTTCCCCCTTTTTTCCCTTCTCCCACTCCCCTACCCCCATACTACTCCCCCATCCACTCCTCAGAGCAGGTAAGGCCTCCCTTGGGGAGTCAACAAAGTCTGACATACCAAGGTGAGGCAGGACCAAGCCCACCACCCCTGCATCAAGGCTGAGCAAGGTATCCCATCATAGGAAATGGGCTACAAAAAGTCAGTTCATGCACCCTGGATCATTTCTGGCCCACTGCCAGAACCCCCCAAACAGATCAAGCCACATAACTGTCACCCACATTCAGAGGGCCTAGTTCGGTCCCATGCAGTTTCTCCAGCTGACAGTCCAGAGTCCATGAGCTCCCACTAGCTTGGGTCAGCTGTCTCTGTGGTTTTCCCCATCATGATCTTGACTCCCTCTTGTTCATATAATCCCTCCTCCCTCTCTCCAACTGAAGAGCAGGAACTCAGCCCAGTGCTTGGCTGTGAATCACTGCATTTTGGATGTAGGTTCTATGATGACAATCAGGGTAGTCACTAATCTGATTATAAGGGAAGACCAGTTCAGGCACCTTCTCCACTATTGCTAGGAGTCTTAGCTGGTGTCATCTTTGTGGATTCCTGGGAATTTCCCTGGCACCAGGTTTCTCCCTAACCCCCTAATGGCTCCCTTTATCAAGATATCTCTTTCATTGCTCTCCCTCTCTGTCCCTTCCCCCACTAAGCAATCTCAATCCCTCATGTTCCCATCCCCATCTCATCCCTTCTACCCCTCCCTCCCAGTTTACCTGGGAGAGCCTAACTATTTCCTCTTCCTAGGGTCCTCCATGTATGTCCCTCTTAGGGTCCTCCTTTTTACCTAACTTCTCTGGAGCTGTGAACTGTAGTCTGATTATCCTTTGTTTTACATCTAGTATCCACTTAGGAGTGAGTACATACCATGTTTGTCTTTCTGGGTCTGGGTTAACTCACTCAGAATGATTTTTTTTCTAGTCCCACCCATTTGCTTGCAAATTTCATGATGTCCTTGTTTTTTACCACTCAGGAATACTCCATTGTGTACGTCGTCCACATTTTTGTTATCCAGACGCAGTTTTTAGTGCATCTATCTGGGGATCTTTAAAAACAGTGAAACCAGGGCTGGTAAGATGGCTCAGTTGGGAAAATGCTAGCCACACACACATGTAAGAACCTGATTTCCATCCCCAGAATCCTCCTTCAGAAAGCCAAATATGCTGCCCCTGTATGTAATCCCAGCACCAGGGAGATGGAGCCAGGTAAATCCCCGAGGCTAACTAGTCAGCTAATTTAGCATATGAGTGAGCTCTCAGAGGATTTGGAGGGAAGAAAGGTAGGGGAGGAACTAACATAACTATATTATAATCTCAAAAAAGAAATGAAGGTTTTTATAATTTAAGAAAGGGAGACTCTGTCTCAAAAAATAAGGAGTCTCACCTGAGGAATAACCTGAGGTTGACCTCTGCCCTTTACATACATAAACACACACACACACATACACACACACATGAACACACATACATACACACACAAAATAAAGTTGAAAACAGTAAAAGCAAAGACAGTTCTTACGAAGCTTGGCCTGGGGAAACCTGCAGGCCGCCTGGTGAGTGTTCATGGAGATTCTGAGGCCTCAGAAAAGTCACGGTAATTTCTAGCTTTGTGACTAAGTATTTACAAAGAGCATTTTTAACAGAAAAAAAATAAGATAAAAAAAATCAAATTAGAAACCAGAACTCAGCTTCTTTTGGAGACATAGCTCAAACCTGGAATTATTAGCTCTGACTTGGAGGGAAAGTGAGCACAACACTTTCTCTTTCTAGTCCTAGACCGAATTCAATTCCAGGCCCATATAAAATTCTGAATTTCCAAAGGAACACAGTACAAGAAATAATTTAATAGTTTAGCCAACTATGAATAAAATATCCTGATATCAGCACACAATCAAATTTCTGTGCATGTGTGTGTGCACATTTGTAAGGGTACACACACAAATGTATGAATATGTGTGGGTTTCATTCCTCAGGCACCATCTCCGCTGTCTTTTGAGGCAGGGTCTCTCACCGACCTGGAACTGACTGACTAGGCTAGGCAGACTGGCCAGTCAGCCCCAAGGACATTCCTCATCAGTTCCCGTGACAAATGCACCATCACATCCAGAGTGTGCGTGTGCGCGCGCATGTGTGTGTGTGCACGTGTGCATGTGTATGTGTGTGTGTCAGGGCTCCATGCTTACTTGGAGAGCACATCACTCACGGCCATCTCTCTAGCTCACAGTGTTTTGGTTTTTTTTTTATTAATAAACTGTAGACATTCTTCTTACTCTCCGGAGTCTGGGGTGTATTTTACCCTTACACTTCATCTCCATATCAGGTTAACGCAGGGCAGCAAAGGCAAACTGGGCAACACAGCTGCAGAACAGGGTTGCATGTTACTCTAAATGGTGCCTAGCTCTTGACCAGGGACAGCGAAGCTCTCAAGACTTCTTCATGGCAGTTTTATTGAAGCCCTCAAACCCCTTCTTAATAAATTGGGTGGGGACACTAGTGCCTCTCAGATTATAGAATCATCATTTGAAATTTTATAAAATTAAAATTTCTACTATCCGTTTTTCTTAAGGTATTTTTTACCAAAAGATGAACTTATTTTCAAGATTACCTTGATCCCAATGGTAATAGTCTTTGATGTCACAAATCTGATACTTCACATTTGCTTGATGCCCATTGAAGCAAATGGTGCATGCGTGCAGAAAAGCTTGGGTTTGCGGATTTTTGTTTTCTCTTTTCAATCTTTTTTTAAGGGATGTATTCTATTATTTTATTTATTTGGTTTTTTGGGGCAGGGTTTCTCTGTGTAAGAACCTTGGTTGTTTTGAACTCACTCTGTAGACCAGGCTGGGCTCAAACTCACAGAGATCCTCCTGCCTCTGTCTCCCAAGTGGTAGGATTAAAGGCGTGCTCCACCACCGCTTGGTATATGTTGATATTTTAAAATTATTTTTGACTATGTCTGTGTGGGTGTTTATGTACATGAATGCAGGTCACGATGGAGGCCAGAAGGGTGTATTGGATCCCCTGAAGCTGGAGTTTCATGGGTTGTAAGCCACCTAATATGGGTTCAGGGCCACTGCCAGGCTAGTGTGTGATTTTAGCAACTGAGCCATCCCTCCAACTCCCTGCTTTCTTGCTCTCATTAATGAATCTGGATGCTGTCAACTTTCAGGAGTTTCTGCATTTCAACTCACCTAGCCATATATCACTGCCTGAATTCCCAACACCGAAGACATAGCTCTGCCTGTTGGTTTGGTGTTGGCACCGACTCAGCACCTTCCCCCCTGGCGCCCCAGAACCACACAGAAGAGCATTTGTTCATTGATGTTCAGTCATCTGAAACCTACAGAAGCTAGGGGCAATACTGCACGTCCCGATATACAGGCACACACACAGACACACACACACACACACACACACACACACACACACACATATAAACACGTGTATCCACAATCACACATATACACAGGTATCTATGTGCGTGTATGTGTAGGAACATATGTGTCCATCATGGAAATTCTATAGAGGAAGAATGTTTCTTTTTCTACTTTACCAAATGAGGGGCTGAAGTATGATGAAGTCCCAGAGCTAGCAAGTAGTGATGTTCAAAGTGGTGCTGAATTTCTATGTGTGTTTGTGCATGTTTTATATGCATAGGTGTGCCTTATACCATGTCTTTTAAAATAAAAGAGCAATGGACATACCACCCTGAATGAGTCCAATCTTGTCTGATCTTAGAAGCCAAGCTGTGCCAGGCTCTTTAGTACTTTGATGGGAGACCTGGGAATACCAGGCACTGCAGACTTAACAAAACAAACAAATGAAAACACTTTACTTTGTTAAGGTTGGAGGTGGTGGTGCAGGCCTTTAATCCCAGAACTTGGGAGACAGAGACAGGCAGATCTCTGTGAGTTTGAGGCTAGTCTAGTCTACAAAGTAAGTTCCAGAACAGCCAGGACTACACAGAGAAATCCTGTTGCAAAAAACATCATCATCATCATAAATTAATATTCATAGTTTTTGTGTTGAGCTATTAATTATAGAAAATATGACAGACAAAACAACAACAAATCTGACTGCAAGATACGTCTTGGTAATAAAGGACTAGTCTAGTATTTGTGAGACCCTGAAAGAAAATGGAGACACCAAGGAGAGAGAAGGGGGAGAAAGGAAGCAGGGGAGGAAGGAAGGAGAGAAGAAAAGAAAACAGGAGGAAGGGAAGGAAGATAAATGAGTAGAGGGAAGATAGGTTAGTGGTTAGCTGAATGGATGGATGGATGGATGGATGGATGGATGAGAGTATGGGACTACAGATGTACAGTTGAAAGAACAGACAGATGGACAAATAGGTGAATGACTGAATAGAAGAACAGACAAAAAGTTATTCACTACAGACTCCAGATCAGGGAACTAAGCAAATTATAAAGGCTACATATCCCTGTAACTATCCCAGGGAAGACCTGTCACATGACTGACAGTGCACTAGCTAATATCAAAGACAACTTGCATCCTCTTCTCAACATCAGGACAAAGACTGAGGGCAAGGCTTTCATTTAAGGCTCCTCCCATCTGGAAGAAGAATCCACTTACATATACTCTCTGTGAGCAGAGTGCACGGCGGCTGCGTTGCTGTAACGCCAGAGGACGATGGCCGAGGACAGCACATCCAGGATGGCGTCAAACTAGAGAAGGAGACAGGACATTAGTGGCTCTCCAGAGTCAGCAAGGCACAACCATGAACACACAGGGGAACTGCACAGTGACCCAGAGAGTTTGAATAAACGTCTTGGAGTTTACATATTTCTACATGCGTCTTGCAGCCACTTTGAACTCCGTGGTGCAGCCCTGGGCATTACTGCCCTGGTAGCAGAGCTGTGGCCCTTGCATGATTGACTCTGTTCTCAGATCCTTAGGGTCCTGGCACTATAGAGATATGGGACAAGAGACAGGAATGGAAGGTACAGTTTTCTGAAATACGTGAAACTGTTTATACTACAACAGGCAAGGTGGCATTGGCATTTTCCTATACATAGGAAATTTTTAAAAAATAGTAAGTTAAAAAAATTCTACTTCTGACTCTCGTTGAAACTGTTTTAGCTAGGTTCAGGAAGTCTACCAACAGTTTGATATTGTATAGAAATCTCTATGCTTTAGAGAGAACAAGGGAGAGAGAGAGAGAGAGAGAGAAAGGGAGAGAGAGAGAAGAGTTTCGAAGTGTGTATATGTTATGTGTGTCTGGATATATATATACATATTGTGTGTGTGCACACATGTGATGTGTGCATCTATGCTGTGTATTTACTTCTGGATGATGTGTGTTTATGCTTTATGTATTTCTATTTCTCTCCGTGTATGTGTTGTATATGTCTGATTGTGTTTATATATTGTATATGCATCTCGCTGTCTGTATATGTGTTGTATATTTATTTCTGGATATGTGCACATGTTGTTCGTATTCTGGGTACCAGTGTGTACATGTGTAACTTTCCAGACAGTTTGAATCCTTTATAAAACTCTTAAAAGAATTTGTCTCAGAGCAACACTCTCCAAACATGAAGCTTTTAGAACAAGGGGCAGATGTGGGTCTGCGGCCGGGTACAGGATTCCCCATGTCTGTCAACAAGGAGGGAAAGAGCTTGCTTGAGACATCACACGTCTCAGTTCTGTGCTAGTGCTGGCCCTCTCTTGAAGGGCTAAGAAGAAATGACCTATTTCCTCCAGGAGGCAGACAGAAAGCTCAGCTCCCCTTAGCAGGGCTATAGATAAACTGACTTCTAGTGTGAGCAGCCCCAATCCATTTCAACTTCCAGTGTCTCTTCCTACACCAGCAATATGCACCACCCCAGTGTCAGGACTACATGCAACTTGGAAGGGCACAGAGAGGCTAGTCTCCCCCAAAACATCCTCTCAAGCAAATCCTTCAGAGAACATGTGCACCCCGGATGTATACGTGGGAACGATCCCATCGTGACGCCATTTAATTCTATTGCATTGTCATTTGCACAGTTGTTTTTCCTAAATTTGTGCTTTCCATGCTCATTTCATATCTGTTAAGCATAAGCACCCATCTATTCCACGACTCGGTGAGAGCCGTGGCTCGGGGAAACCCATGCAGAACTTAATCACGGTGAGAACGTTTCAGGCTACTTACTGCAAACCCAAAGGCAGAGGCGCTGTACCTCATGACGGAGACAGCTAGAAAGAAAGAAAACAGTATTCAGTCAGATTTGACAGCCTCATGGTTTATGTGTTTCATTCGTGAGTTCGTCATCACAGTGCATACAACCTTTGAACACCAAGGGAAAGCTCCAAGAGAATAAAAATTTAAAAACCGATGTCTAAAAATTCAAAGAATTCAAAAAGAAGAAAAAGAAATTATTTTCAAATTATACCTACAACACTTCCCCCACCTTGTTCTGAAGTATCCAAGGACCAACTTCAGGGAAAACAAAGTTAAGCACCTGTCAATCACATGGCTTCCGTGCCTTTGAAAATCCAGAAACTGAAAGCTGAGAGCTGGGAACTAAATTTCAGGTTTCAGTGAAGCTGAACCTGAATCCTCCTGCCTCAGCTTCCTCAGCTGCTAGGATCACAGGCCTGCACGATCAGGCCTGGCTGTATTTCTACTCTGAATTCATCTGCTCTAACTGGTCATGGTACAACAGGTGGGCACAGTTAAAAAGCCCTCTCCCCCCACATTGCGTGCCCCAGAAGGCCACCTGATTGGAAGATGTTAAACTGTGACTTCAAAACGTCTGCACTTGAGTTCTTTGGTGATACCAGGGCTTTCCTTGGAGAGCCGCAGGTTTCAAAGGAGTAGATGCCCAAGTTATTGCAGTGAGAAACATGAAGAGCCTCACCTCAGATTTGAGTTAAATAAATGCTGTCGGCTGGGTGGAGGGCTCAGTAGAGTAAATGCTTGCCTTGCAAACGGGAGAGCATGACTTTGACCCTTGGCTCCCAAGCCACAAAAGGCAGGCAAGCTAATGCACTTGCAATCCTAGCCCTGGGGAAGCAGAGATGAGTGGACCCCTGGGGCTCGCTGTCAGGCCAGCTTAGACTACTTGGTAGCCTGCAAACCAATAAGAGACCATTTCAAAAAACAAGGTTGGGAATGATTAAAACCACTCTCTGTTTTTTCAGAGGACCAGAATTTAGTTCCTAGTACCCATGTCAGGTGGTTCACAGTCTCCTGTTACTTCTAGCTCTAGGGAATCTGACACCCTCTTCTGGCCTCTTTGGGACAGATAAACATATACACACCTACAGATAAAGAGAAATAATACAAGTATATACACACACATATATATATATAGTATATATATACAGATATAAAGAAATAATAAAGTATATATATATAAAGTATATATACAGATATAAAGAAATAATAAAGTATATATACAGATATAAAGAAATAATACATATACATATATAACACACATATATATGCTATCAAAGTTATCAAAGTTGTTTCTGGCCTATACATGTAATTGTGTTTGCATACATATATATGCAGGTATATTCAAATACAAGCATACACACAAGTGTACACACACATGCACACACACACACCACGCACAGGAGATAACCGCCAAGGGGAGGTTTCTCTGACTCCATGGCATCCAATGCCATGTTTCACTCTCAGAACTACACTGGAAAGTGAGTTAAGCCTGCCAGGTAGACAGATAAAGGCTAGCAAATCTGGACTATATTATTATTCATGCCCCGTGCGGCAGGGCACTGTGAGCCAGTGGGGTCCTAGTGAACTCAGGGCCCTTCAGAGGATGTGTTATTTACTCAGGACTCACCTTCATCTAATTCCTTGATAAGACGCAAAAAGCCAAAATTGCATGGGGAGTCAAGAGTCCTCTGAAGGGTCACCTACATTTCTCTGTGCTAGCAGCTTCCCCCTGTGGCCAGTTCTCAAACAGCTGTGAACAGCTATTAGCCCTAGACCCACGCGGAAGAGCTCAGTAGCCTCTGAGGACTTTTCAGGAGGGTCAAGTAATAAGTTCATTTTCTTTGGCCCATAACTGAATCATAGCGCATCCTGAATCCAGGATAAGAATTACTTGAACAGAAGTGGGTAGATAGGCTTAGGTAGCCCTGTTTCCGTGTAAATAAAATCACACTGAGGAGATTTCTTTCTTTTCTTGTATGTGTGTACGTATGTGGGTGTAGGTACATGAGTATGTGTGTAGAGACTGGAGGTAAAACCCCAGTGTTATTTTTCAAGAGCTGTCTGCCCCATTTTTGGGTTGGTTGGCTGTTTTTTTGTTTTGTTTTGTTTGCTTTTTGAGGCAAGGTTCCTCTGCGTAGCCCTGGCTGTCTTGAAACTCACTCTATAGACCAGGTTGCCCTCGAACTCAGAGATCTGCCTGCTTCTTCCTCATGAGTGCTGGGATTAAAGGTGTATGCCACTGCTGCCACCAGGCCCACCTCGTTTTACAAGACAAGGTCTCTCGTTGGTCTGAAACTTGCCAAAGAGGCTAGGTTGGCTGGCCAGCAAGTCCCAGGGGTCTTCCTGTCTCTGTCTCCCCAAGACTAAGAGTATAGTAACTCAACTCTCTTCTTGCAGTTCTAGGCATCAAGTTTAGTTCCTCTCACTTGGAGAGTCAGCACTTGACAACCTGGAGCCATCTACGCAACCACCAAACTGAAGGGTTTGCAAGAATGAGTTGTGTCTGGAGAACGGGCCTGTACCAGGGTGATGGATGGAGGCACAGAGAGGTCCAAAGCACTTTGTGTACACATGGGCAAGCACAGCCCAGAGTTGCCATAGGGCCAAGACACTGCCTGTAAGATAGGAGCTAGACTCAGTTGTGAAGAACACACATGAGCCATGTCAGCCTCGGCCACACTGCACCCTGAAAGCCCACGCAAGCAGCTGTGAAGCAGGGCTTTCCTATGAAGACAGCTCTTAGCAAGGTTGGGCCGTAGAGCTGAAGGGAATCGGGACTCTAAGATGCCCCTTTTCTGAGTCATCACCTACACTGGGTCAGAGATATGGAGTTGCCTTCGAGTCATGAATGTTCTCTGAAGTAAAGCCAACCAATTCGTTGTTTCACCAGGGTGGACTTGGGTGTCACTTCTTTGTCTGTTATTGGTCTCTCAAACAATAATAGTTGCTAACCTCTGAAGGACAGGAATATTTGAGGGTTTTTTCCTACTTTTCTGTGTCTTCTACAGCTATTATAAGTAACCATTCAAATTAGATTATATATTTTATTTGGAGAAAAACTATCCTGTAAAAATAAGCAAAGGTAAAAAAAATGAGCAAAGGTCTGAAATGAGCTAGCAGGAGAGTTCAAACACATCTCTTAGAAACAGAAAACACTGCTTGCGAGTGATTGGGGCCGATAGGAAAGTACATGGCTATGTTATCCATAATTACGTGTGGTTTCTGTGTCCCATGGTCTACAGGAGCAGGTGGCTAATAGTCTCAGGAATGTGGCTGTGGGCCACATAAGCCAGGCAACAGAACGCTAGCAGAATATCGCTCCTTGCCCTACAGCCTTCCAGCCTCCCAGAGTTTGCCTGTCCTAAGCCAGACTGTCATCTAGTCAGGGACTCACTAATAGCTACACCCAGAAGCAGACACACAATGTAAGTCTTAAATAAATATTTGTACAGGCCTGGTTAAAAGACCAGTTTTTTGTTTTTTTGTTTTTAACTAAGTCAAACCAGACCGAAAAACATGTTGGCTGGAAATAAATTCAAACAGAAAGGCAGCTGGATAATGAACCGGACCCAGGAGATTCATTGTTACGGCCATGCCAAAGGCAGACCTGCAGCTGAGTAAGCAGGGGCTTGGAGGGAGGGCCTGCAAAGCAGAGACAAAGGGCCTTGGAAAGCGGAAGAGAGCATGCCAGCAAGGCATGCCAAGGACCAACAGCAAGACCCCCTGCACAACACCCAACAAAGACTCCTTCTTCAATTGCCAGCGAGATTTACAGAGACAATGAGGACCCATCTGTCATCCTCTCCAAAGTCAGGCAATAATTATCTTGAGCCTTAGCACTCTTTAGCAATACCCCAGGCCCCGCAACACCTCGGAGTTGTTAAATTATGTGAGCAGCAGAACTCTGTTAATAAATCAATCCCAGTTTAATTAGACTGTTTCTATCACTCAGATGCCTAGCAAACACCTCCCCCACAGCTGGGGAACAAGCCCACCCTGGAGAGCCACTTCTCCACCCACCATCAGAGGCAGGCTCTCCGTTCTTGCTCACTGGAACCTGGGAATCAAAGAGCTGGGGCCAGGAGCAGGTTAAAAAGAAACAGTGGTTTTTCTATGTTCTAACTCACTCCAACAGGATCTCTACTGGTTTCCATACTCTAAATAAGATTATCAGCTACAGAAAAATTAGCGATAGGATTCTTACTTCAAGGGAAAAAGGAAAACTGCTTAACACATTTTTAAGAATATGATCAAAATATGCTGTATGAAATTCTCAAAGGAAAAAGAATAAGTCAACATTGTGTAGAGCTGGGGAAATGGATCAGTTGATAAAAATGCTTGAAACAAGAACAGGAGGACCTATGTTCAATGCCCAGAATCCACCCTATAAAAAGGCTGGGTATGGTACATGGTGTATTCTTGCAATCCCACATTGGAGAGGGGAAGATCAGCAAACCCTTGGGGCTCACTGGTCAGCCAGTCTGGCCTATTTGACAAGCTCCAGGCTAGTGAGAGACCCTGTCTCAAGAAACAACGGGAATGGTACCTGGGAAGCGACGTCTGAGGCTGACTTCTCATCTCCACACACACGCGCACACCTGTATATCCACACTCAACAACACACATAAGCACACAGACATACACACATTTACTACACATACATAAACATGAGCATACACAAGAGAATAAGCTTGAAGAGGTTGCTGAATGCTGCCCTTGAGCTGCTGTGTCATTTGATAGCATCTTATGTCCATCTGCAATGAGAGGTCCATCCCATTCAGGTGTCTCAAAAGAAACAGCTGCTGAGATGCTTCCTAAGCAGCGGGTACCTCTCCTTTCTGCACGCCATTTGCAGCACACAGCCAGATTGCTCTACACAGCTCACTCCAGCCTCATGTTCTGATGTCCTCCTGAACAGGCCAGACCTGCCCACTACTCCCCAGGCACACAGGCCTCCCTGCCGCTTTACCCCAGCCTTGCTCTTCTGCCCACAACACCTACCCCAGGGATCCAA